ACCTGGAGAGGTGAGGGCTCTGAGGGGTGTTGGGGGCCCTGCAGGGCGCGGGGCTGACGTGTCCGGCTGGGGCTGTGCGTTCCAGGCAGGCCGTCACCAAGGACACCTTCCGGCAGTACCGGATCCTGGGCAAGGGCGGATTCGGAGAGGTACGGCCCGGGAGGAGGGAGGGCTGGAGGGTGGGTGGGCAGAGGGGACTCACCCCGGCCCCGGCCCCCCAGGTGTGTGCCTGCCAGGTGCGGGCCACGGGCAAGATGTACGCCTGCAAGAAACTGGAGAAGAAGCGGATCAAGAAGCGGAAAGGGGAGGCGATGGCCCTGAACGAGAAGCAGATCCTGGAGAAGGTCAACAGCCGGTTCGTGGTGCGTGTGGGACCCTCCTGGGGGGCCGGGGGGGGCCGAGGCCGGCGCTGACAGCCAGGTGGGCACACAGGTGAGCCTGGCCTATGCCTACGAGACGAAGGACGCGCTGTGCCTGGTGCTGACCATCATGAACGGGGGAGACCTCAAGTTCCACATCTACAACATGGGCAACCCCGGCTTCGAGGACAAGCGCGTGGCCTTCTACGCGGCAGAGATCTGCTGTGGGCTCCAGCACCTCCACCAGGAGGGCATCGTCTACAGGTGAGCTGAGAACGGGGCAGCAGGTGCTGGGCCACCCCTCTGCATGGTGCTGAGCCCCCCCTCTGTCCCCACAGGGACCTGAAACCGGAGAATATCCTGCTGGATGATGATGGTGAGGATGCAGCTGCTGGGTCTGGCTCTGCCCGTGCTCGTGGGATGGGGATGGGTCTCTGTGTGATCCAGGAGGTGCCTGGCTGTGCTCTGGGGGGATGTACAGGGATGTGAAGTGACCCTTCCCTGGGACAATGCCCTCAGCCCCCTGCCTGCCCCAGGCCACATCAGGATCTCTGACCTGGGACTGGCTGTCAAGATCCCCGAGGGTGAGACCATCCGTGGCCGCGTGGGCACCGTCGGCTACATGGGTGAGCGTGAGGGTTGCGCTGGTGGGGTTGGACCAGGGCTCCTTGTGCCGCTCTGTGCCCGGTGCTGACAGCTGGGGGCCACGCTCCACAGCCCCAGAGGTGATCAGCAACGAGCGCTACACCTTCAGCCCCGACTGGTGGGGCCTGGGCTGCCTGGTGTACGAGATGATCGAGGGGCAGTCGCCCTTCCGCACCCGCAAGGAGCGGGTGAAGCGGGAGGAGGTGGAGAAGCGGGTGCAGGAGGAGCAGGAGCTCTACTCGGACAAGTTCAGCGAGGATGCTCAGGCCATCTGCAAGTTGGTGAGCTGGGGGCCCAGGATCCCCGTGGGGGCCGGGCCGGGTCCATCCCTGCTGTGACAGCTCCGTTTTTCCCCCCCAGCTCCTGGCCAAGGACCCCGGGGTGCGGCTGGGCTGCGGGGCCGACGGGGCGGCCGAGGTGAAGCGCCATCCCTTCTTCAGGACCATCAACTTCAAGCGGCTGGAGGCCGGACTCATGATCCCCCCCTTCGTGCCGGACGTAAGGGCCGGGCAGGGGTGGGCACCCATGGTTGGGGGACAGCCCCGCTCCCCCCGCTGCCACCCTGACACCCCCTCGGGTCCTGCAGCCACGGGCAGTTTATTGCAAGGACGTGCTGGACATCGAGCAGTTCTCGACGGTGAAGGGCGTCAACCTGGACCAAACCGACAGCGATTTCTACGCCAAATTCGCCACGGGCAGCGTCTCCATTCCCTGGCAGAACGAGGTACCGGGGGCGTGGTGTGCCAGAGGGTCCCCCCCATGCTGTGGTGCTGTCAGTGCCCAACCCTGCGGTGACCTGACCCCCCCAGATGATCGAGACCGAGTGTTTCAAGGACCTCAACGTGTTTGGCCCCAGCGGGACCCGCTCCCCCGACCTGGACTGGCAGTGGCTGCCCGAGCCCCCCAAGCGCAGCCTTTTGCAACGGCTCTTCCGGCGACACGTAAGGGACAGGGGGGTGTTCTGGGGAGTTGGGGTGCCCTGGGGTGTCCCTGAGACCACCCTGGCTCACTGCCCACCGTCCATCTGTCTGCTCCTTGCAGCCAGCTGACTGCACCGTCCGCCCCCCCAGCCCGGCCGCCGTGAACTCGCACCCTCCCACGGCCAAATCCTCCTGCCAAACCCCGGCACCGGCACCGTCTTGACCCCTCGGGGAGCCCCCAGCCCCCCTGTGCCCTCTCAGGGTTGTCCTGAGCAGCGCTGGGGCCGGGGGCTCCGGGGATGCTCACGGAGGGGAGGGGGACACTGGTGATGGGGGCAGAGGGGTGGAGGTTGCCTTGACCCCAACCCTGCCACCTCCCCACCCCTCCAGCCTGTTCCTGGGGGCTTCCACTGCAGGACCACCTTCCCCCCAGCTCCCCTCCCCGCTGCCAAGGGAAGGGACCAGGGCACAGACCTATTTTTGCTGCTTTTGAGCCCATTATCTTATCGCCGGGTCAGAGCGTGATCTCTGCGGGCATCGGGGCGGGGGGGGCTGCGGTTTATCTGTGCTCTCCAAATAGCAACACGGGCAGCCTTGGAGTGGGGGGACACTCCAGCCCCCCCAGCTGCAGCAGAAGGGACGGGGTCACCCCGACAGAGCCTCCCTCCCCCCCCAGGGAAGCACGGCCTCCCCTGCTCCGGCCGCTGCGATGGGAAGCGGGCTGGGAGAGGGGAACGTTCTCGAAGGGCAGTGTGGGGAGGCCTCCCCCCATCCTCACGAGGCAGCTCTGGGCAGCCTCGGGGTTCCTGGGCCCCCCCATCCCTTCAGGCCCTGGTGAATCTGCAGCGCCTTTGGCCGTCGTCGAGCCGGTTTTGTGCATTTTGTACATTTGTGAATATTTGTACCTGTTGTACATTTTTAAGCGAAAAGCTGCAAACGGAGCTGCGTGGTGGCTTTGTGGGGGGACTTGGGGGGTGTTTCGGGGGGGGGTATGGGGGCTTTCTCGGGTGTTTTACCTCCCCCAGCATGTTCTCCCCACTGCCTGCCTGGCAGGATGTGGCTGGGGGATCCTGGGTGCCCGTCCCGGGGCGGGGCTGTGCTGGAGCTCGGTGGGCTCAGCCAGCCAGGCCATCTGTGTTCTGATGGAGAAGCATCTTCCTGGTGCCTGAGGTAGGTGCTGGCACCCCAGTCCCGCCCCTGGTGCCTTTGGCACTGCTGCTGCTCCTGGCCACCCCTGGTGCCACCCCTGGTGCTGTGGGACCACTGCTGTCCCTTCCCCTCGCAGGCTCAGTGGATGCAGGAGCTTGAGGACAGCGAGGGGACCTCAAGGGACATCCAGAGGGGATGCTGAGGCCACATCAGGAGCTGGTGAGGGTCCTGGGTGTGTCCCAGATCACCAGCACCCCCCTCTGAGGGTTCTGGAATCCTTTTTGGAGTCCCTGTGTGGCACCCTGGGGATGGGTCACCTGGGGCATTTCCCTCGTGTGCTGTGGCACAGTGTGACTGTCCTCATGTCCCCTCCCAAGGGGCACAGCGGGGCTCGTGGCCCTCCAGCCCACCCAGCCCAGAACCAGAGCTCTGCCTGGGCTGTTTTGGTTCTTCTCACAAACAACTGTGTGTCCTTGTGCCAAGGCCTTGTGCTGGGAGCCTCTGCTCCGTCTGGGATAACAACAGTCCTGGATGGTTCGCAGCTGGGGGATCTCTGGTCCCTGCTGTGCCCCCCTCACTGTCAGGGCAAGGGGGCTGTGGGTAAATGCACAATATCAGGAGGTCTTTGGTCTCTCTGGACACCTGGACCTGTGGGTGCTCTGTGTGCATTTGACTGGAGCTCTGGGCTGGGAGCTCCCAGGGGCAGCTCAGGGATTTCAAACCCTCCGGAATTTCCCTCACTCCACGTGCAGGCAGGAGGGAGCAGGTGGGGGAAGCCCAGAGCGGGGAGAGCATTGGCACAACCTGGGAGTCACAGACCGTGGCTGCAGCGAGGATTTCCCAGCAAACATTTGGTTAGGGGATTGTGCAACCTCTGAGTTCCTCCCGGTCCCTCTAACACCTTCATCTGGTCTCGCATCGCTGATGTGAACGTGAGGTGTTTTCTGCACACGACGGAGGACAGCAGCCCTGGCGTTGGAGAGGAGCACCCTGAGGAGCAGCAGGACCCTTCTGGATGGCAGGTAGGACCCAAATCATCTCGGGGGCTCTGGGGACAAGTGGGGGAGGCAAGGGGCTCCCCAGGGCTGGTGCAGCAGTGGGGTGACCTCCCCCTGGGCCAAATTGTTGCAACAGCGGGGAGGAAGGTCAGGCTCCCCGCAGGAGGGTGCAGGGGTTGACGTCAAAGGAAGCAGCTGTGATTCACGGGTTCCTGGGAGCGCTGGTCTCGGGGCCGTAACTCATCCCAGAAATGTCATTTTAGCCTTGAGCGTTATCTCTGCTCTGCTGCTGCCCACCACTCCCAGCCCTGGGACAGATAGCCAGGCTTGGGGGTAGGGGGGCTGCAGGGGGCTGCCCCTTGCTCCCAGCCCAGGCTCAGCGGCTCAACATGTTTGATATTCAGCTCTCTGTGGGCTGTCCTGGTCCTTGTGTGCAGCGTTTGCTGAGCTTGGGCTGAGCCTGGCTTGGTTATTCCAGGATGGCTGAGTCGTGAGATGGTGTTGTCCATTGCTGCCTGCTGTCACCTGTTATCATCCATTGCTGTCCATCCACGATAATCATCCTCGATGACCCGGTAGGTCTTTCCCAGCCTTGCTGGTTCTGTAGCTCCGTGTTTGCCGCAGGGTCTGTCCCTGGCACCGCAGGAGCCGGGCAGGGGAGCTCTGCCTCCCCTCCGAGCTGCTGTGCCCCCCTGGCTGTGCCACGGACGGGGCTGGCCGTGCCCCCCTGTGCCGGCTCCACGGCCCCTCAGCTGCGTGAGGAGCCGGCTCTGGCCTTGGCCCTGCCGTGAGTGACGGCTCTTATCTGGCGGCTGATGGGGCAGAATCCTTCAGCCCCGCGTACTTAAGGCCGCGGCGGCGGCGGGGCCGGGGCAGAGCCGCGCTCGCCGCAGAACCCACCGCAGAACCGAACCCCGCCGCGCACCGAGATGCTCCCGGCCACGTCCAAGCTCTGCGCCGCCATCTCCTACCGCCACCTGCGCAACATGACCGGTGAGGGGCCGCGGGGCTCTGTCCCCACCGTCACGGGCACAGCACTTCGCGCTGAAGTTCGTTGGAGAAGCTCCCGCTGAGTCGGGGGGGTAGAAAGGACCCCCCCCCTCCTCCCCTTTGCTTTCTAAACTCCTTCTCGGACAGGAGGACAAGCTCAGGGGTGCTCTGCTCACCCCACCCTATGCTGTGCTGCTTTCTGGGTTTTGTGATTTACTGTCCCTGCTGCCCTTCTTGCTGTCAGACCTGTCTCTGGGGTCCGAGGGGACAGCCCGTGCCCCTGTGGCCAGCTCCGGGTCACACTCCTGCTTGTGGTGAGGATTTTCCATCTTCGTGCTCCATTTTTCTGCTCCTTCATGAGCCACCTGATATTCCTCAGTATTTTTACTGCTGCATGGCTTGGACCTGGAGCCAAACCCGGGATTGCTTAGGATGGGTAGTGCAGTGGCTGCTCCCTGTGCCTGTAGGGACTCAGTGAAGGTGACAAACAGAGGCTTCTCCATGTTATGTGTTTAAACTGGGGGAAAAAGCCCCTGAAAGGGCCCCTGACGCGCTCTCTCCCTCAGGTCTGAGGAGACAAGCCGCCGTGGCCATCAGCCAGGAGCTGAGCAGACTTGCCTGCCGCAGCCCGGGGCCCAGCTCCTGGATCCACCAGGTGCGCAGGAGGAGCTCCCTGCTCAGTAAGTGACCACCTGAGGGGGGTCTGTCCCTTCCTGCCACGGGGAGACTGTCAGGGGCTGGGGATCCAGGGAGTGGTTGGGGGAAAACCTGCTTGTGGGTGGGCTGTGCTTCTGCTGAACCAGCAGCAGAGTGGGAATTGGGTTTAATTGGTCCCAGGGCATGGAAAGAGTATTTGGTGTAGATAAAGCTTATCTGGCACGTTATGCTGTTCTTGCACTCACTCCTGCCTTTGTCTGGTCCTGGCAGGCTCGAGGCTGGAGGAGAAGCCCTTCAGCGAGATGGAAATGTCCTACATCAAGCAAGGAGAGGAAGCCCTGCAGAAATCCCTCAGAATCCTGGAGGACCAGGACGGCTGGAAGACAGAGACGGTGGCGGTGGGTGCTCTGCCGTGTGGCACTGACGCTCCTCCTGCGAACAGCTGTGGTGTTAACGCTGCTGTGCCCCCTCCAGGGAAACGGAGACAAAGTGCTGAGCAAGGTGCTGCCGGACGTGGGGAAGGTGTTCCGGCTGGAGGTGGTGGTGGACCAGCCCCTGGACTCCGTGTACGGAGAGCTGGTGGACAACATGGAGCAGATGGGAGACTGGAACCCCAATGTCAAAGAAGTCAAGGTAGGGAATGTGTGTGTCGCAGTCGGGGTTCACAGGGGTCCTGCTCCCTGTGGCACTGCAAGGGCCCGTCACAGCAGGCACCGAACACTTCAGACTGAGGGTTTTAATTCCAAACGGCAGATTCTGGAGAAGATTGGGAAGGACACGGTGATCACCCACGAGAAGGCAGCAGCCACCCCCGGGAACATTGTTGGGCCCCGGGACTTCGTGAGCGTGCGGTGCTCCAAGAGACGCGGCTCCACCTGCGTCCTGGCCGGCATGTCCACCACCTACGGGGCGATGCCGGAGCAGGAGGGGTTCATCAGGTAACCCCCTGTTCAGTCCACTTGTGGGTGTGCCAGGAGGGAGATTCCCACAGGGGAGCAGGGATATAGCAGGGGCTCAGTCGCTGGGTTTATCTGGGCAGCAGGAGCTGCTGAGGAAACCCCCAACCATGAAGTGTGTTTTTGAGGCTCAGAGTCTGAATTTTGGGTCTGATGTGGTCCCTCCCTCCCTGGCAGGGCTGAGAACGGTCCCACCTGCATGGTCCTGCGCCCGCTGCCCGGCAGCCCCTCCCGGACCAGGCTGACCTGGCTGCTCAGCATCGACCTCAAGGTAGGGGGAACAGTGCAGGGTGGGGAACAGGGGCTGTGGGGGAGGCAGGTCCCGCTCACGGGCTGTGTCTGCTCCTCTCCAGGGCTGGCTGCCCAAGACCATCATCAACCAGGTCCTGTCCCAGACACAGGTGGACTTCGCCAAACACCTCCGGCAGCGCCTGGCCCGGCCCGTGCCCGTGACCTGCTGACCACGACCTGCCCACCACCCGGGGCAGGGCTTTCTTCAGGGGGCAAAGGGGGAGTCACTTTGATCAGCCAAGGCCTTTAGCAGCAGACACTGCTAATTAATACACGGTTTTGATCAATAAATATAAAGGTTTATTTATTGGAACTCGTGGAAGCGCAGGACCAAAAACTGAAGAAGTCCCACATTTGCTTCACTGAGCACGTGCTGGCCCAGTCAGGCACCTCTACCCTCCCTAATTACTGTCACTGAATAAATAAAGCTTTAATTAGTGGTGTCTACAATTAAAGGCCTGGGATAATTAGTTATGTCCCAAACATCTGGCTGGGAAGATACATCCTCAGTGAGGGAAACACAGGCCTGACTAAATCTCACCTCTAACTCTCCCTAGACTTAAAACACAGCACTTAACTAAAAATTTTATTCCCTCTCCCCCCCCAAAGCAGCTCTAATTTATTTTTCCTGTACAAACACAGACAGAGTGTCAAATTATTTATTCACCCAAAAGCTCTGCAATGATGATCATCGGCAGGAGGCCCAGTGTAACTCCTGTGAGCAGATCTTCAGCTTGAGAGATCTCCAAGTGTAGCTACTTTGAGTTTAAATCTCGCTTGTAACAATTTACAAGACCAAAACAGAATAAAAAGAAGAGTTAAAACCTTTATTTTAAAACTGGTTTCCAGTTTGTGGGGGGAAAAAAAAATAGTTTGGACAGAAGCCCAAATTTCATTCTTACATGCAGCAGTCTCGTTCCAACAGAGCCATCCTGGCTGGGAGCTGTTGGTCCCAATCAGCCAAACACACCAGAGCACAGGTGTCACTGTACCTACACCTGGCAGGTCCACCTCCACCCTGTTCTGAGGGGCACCCAACCGTCACAGCCCAGGAGGAGGTACCTCAGCATCCCCTTCTCCTGGGAGTGACGCTGTAACGGTACTGGAGGCTCCAAGAGATGCCCCAAAATAGCACAAAACACCCCAGACCTGCCCCACTCACGCTCTGGCAGGGGGGAAGGGGTGTGAACCTGCAGCAGGTAACACATACACAACACCTCAGCCTGTTGGGTCGTGGCTGGTCACCGGGGGATGGATGTTCCTCTGCAATAAATCCACAGTGTGGGGGGTTTAGGGCTCCCAGGGTGGGCTCCTCCTCCCATCCACCTCTGTCTCCACGTGGTACAGGACATCAGCCAGCGTGTGCTCCACCACGGCGCCCCAGCCCATGTCACTCATCTGCAGAGGGAGGGACAGTTAGCTCCAGCCAGGGAGCACGGGCTTGGGAAGGAGTGGCAGCAGCATTCCAGGGCTGTTCCCCTCCTGGAAACATTGGTGGGGTGAAAAAAATTCCAAGTGTTTCCTCAAACAACAATTCCACCCTCTTACTGATAAAAGAGGCCAACGCAGGCAACAGCAGGGCCTTACAATCTGTCAAGAGGAACAGGACAGCATCTACTATTTAATGAAAATTAATGAAAAGCTGTCCTTGAGTACTTTTAAACACAATCCTTCTGGCTACGCTGTGGAATCACACCAAAATGCCTTTTGTTTTAAACACCTCTGGTTTAAACACCAATTCTCCCAGATAGGGGTAAAAAAGTTTTAGCTTTACTTACAGGGCGGTAAGTGATGTCTCTGGGTGGGTACTTGAAATACGGCCCAAAGTTTATAGAAACCTGGGGAAGACACATTTTTCATTAGATCTAAAAAAAAAAGGACAATTTATTTAGTCCTCAGTCCTCATCCCCTCCTGCTCCTGAGCCTACCCCCAGCCTGTGCTCCCAGAGCACTCACACTCTGTGCATCCCTGAAACTGGTGGATTTGGGCACTCTCTTGCAAAGACACCTCACTTACCGTGCAGCCTTTGTACAAAGAAATGGCAGGAAAATAAACCCCTTCAAAGATGTCCTTAAAGGCGACCCCTTGGCTGACACCATTCTTGAAGAATATGATCTGAAAAATGAAAAAGGTTTTCCCACTGATGGTGGTTCTCACAACACAGCACCTCTGCCAGGATTACCCCCTGTTCCCCTTTACCAGGTGTGCTGAAGTGACACCAAGAACTCACCTGGCTTCCAGGTGCCTGCTTTAGGCTCTTCTCTGCCTTGTCCACAAAATCCTTCTCTTCGAAGTACAAGTAGCTTTTGAATTTGATCAAAGCCTGAAATAGCAGCAAACAATGTCAGAAGCAAGCCCGAAAATCTGTTACCTGTCACCTGCCCTGCTCGGGGACAGGTGTGCCTGGTGCCAGAGTACCTGTGAGGAGTGATTCCCACAGCTCAAGTATTTGAGAGCCAGGAGGGGAAGATGAAACGAGACGTGGGCAATCCCATCCAGGAGTATTTTGTTTTCCTGAGATCAACACTTTGGACCTCTCCCCTATGAACCACGGAGGTACCCAGAGGCAGGATGGGAAGGATCCACGGAAAGGGGCAGGAGTGAGGCCAGAGCAACCTGTTTGCCACTTATCCACCTGCCAAGGTTTGATCCGACAGTGAACTCGCCCCTCACCTTGTCTTTGTAGGTGTCAGGCAGGGATTTGGCCGTCTCAGTGTCCTCTGGAAGGCTGATGTAAAATCCCAGGATGTCCCCCTGCCCATAGCCAGATGAATAGTGCTTCCCTATCGACTGGTGAAACTTGGTTCCCTTTTTGCTGCGCCAGGAGTAACTGAACTTGTCATACCCCAGAGGGGCCTGGAGGTTCCCTGCAGAAACAAACACTTTGTTGTGAGCACGTGGAGTGTAGCAGGAGCACCTGCTATCAAGTATTTGGTAACATTATTTACCCAAGGGCTGTGACCAGCCTAGTCTGGCAGCTGTGTCTGGAGGCATCTCATCCATGGAGATCTCGAAGTACCAGGCTCCTTTCCGCACGCCGTGGGAGGCTCGCACCATGGAATAGCCCTTCTCGCCAATAACAGTCAGCCTGTCGTCAGAGATCTTCAGCTGGGGAGCTGCAGGGGGGCACACGAGCAGTCATTTGTGATTTCTAAAGGGTGGACATGTCAAAAGGCACATGCATGCAGAGGTAGATCTGACATCTGCACCTCTAAGAGCAATTACACCTGAAAGGTCACTGACTGGTAACGAGAGGTCACTGAGACGTCCCTGTAAGGAAACACAACCTGCACAGATTAACGAGCTCTGTACCTCGGTCATGCAGGGCCAGGAGGACTCGTTCATACAGGCAGGCTCTGTACAGGTCCCCAGGAATCGGTTTTCCTGCCCAACAGTCCAGCTCCAGCTTTTCTGGGTCGGGTGCGTGGGGGTCAGGCTCTGCCAGGATGTATCGATACCCATCCTTGTTGAAGGGGTGTTCCAGAGGGTACCCGTGGGGGGGCAAGCGCTGAGCTGAGAACAACGGGTCACTGAAACACAGAAACTCCGGGCTGGCATCTCCCAGTGGCTGTGGTGCTGTCACAGGTCACCCCAGGACACCCCTCCTGCAGAGCTGTCCCTGCGCTCAGGGGCTGCACAGTGGTGTCTCTGCGAAATGAGCACACACTCACCCACTGCAAACGATTTATGGCCTCTGAGTTATCAGTAACACCACAGGGCTCTGGAGTGACTCCCCATGAACCCACCCGAGGCAGAGACAGGTGGGAGGCAGCTTAAGGCATCCTAAGTGCAGATATCCCTGCCCAACACCTCAGTACCCCGTGCCCTCCTCTCACCTCCGGGTTTTCTTGGCTGTTCCCGTGGTGCCGCCGTCCTGCTGCTTGCGTTTGGCTCCCCGGCCCTTCCCGCTGCCCCCAGCAGCCATTCCCCCTGCACACAGAGCAGGCACGTTAAGGGGCTGGGGATTGGGGAGCGTCCACGCACTCGGAATCTCCAGGGACAGAGGGGCAGAAGCAGCCAAACCAAAATGAGCTGGTGGGCTCAGGAGCCTTTGTCCACAGGCGGTGTGAACCAGCCCTTGGTGCCCACGAGCACAGCAAAATCCACAGGGGACTAAATTTGGAGCGGAAGCTGAGGGAGACTGAGCAGCAAAACGAGCTCAACCCGAGCTTTTGAGGTCAGAATTAAGAATCTTTTCTGTCATCAGAAGATCTACAGGCAGCAGCACTGGGATACACCTCAGAGGTGTTATTATTATTAATCTTTCATGGAGATTCCAGTCACAGTTCCAATCTACTTCTGCAGAAGCAGCAGAAACCCACCCTACAGCACAGCCACTGTCCCAGTGACCCTGTGCTGGGGGGACACTCTGACACCAATCAGCAAGAAGCACTTAGTGTTCAATTTCCATCTATAAAATAAAACACACCTACACTGAGGAAAAACGAAAAGCAAGAGGTGTTTCTCTTCAGTATCACCAAAGTCAGCTCTGGGATTGAACAGTGTACCAGTCTGACCCACAGCACTGATTTTGAACTCACAGGACTGCAGTACAGGACAGGTTGCATGTCAAATTTAATCAAACCAAGATCAGCACGACATTTTAATAAATTAAATCATATGTGCATTTCATCATCACACTACTTCCAAAGAGATCAGTGCTGACTCACAAGGAAAACTATGGAAATTTCATGTACTGTAGATAAACACCTTCACGAACCGCATTCGTGTGGTAATTAAAAATCTAGTCAGCTCTTCCATTACCAGCATTCCCTTATGGTCCAAATCACCCAGGGAGTACCATATTCTGCACAAACATGACCTGATCTGGTTTCAGTGCAGATAAACATTCAGTATCTGCAGTTGGTAAACATTTACTTGCCCAAACCATCACACTGTAAGCTTCAGACCAAATTATTTAGGCATTAAGAGTTAAAATTACAACACCAGGTCAATTGACACAGAGTAAAAATAAACATAAGAGTAAAATACACAAATAAAACATTTAAAACAGTCAAGTAGGGCAGAATATGGCAATAAAAGCTTCTAATTGCTAAAGATTAAGGAGTGGAATTGCTGGTTTGTATTAAAGCCTGACTGCGACCACATCAGGGCACGCTTTCATTTTTAATTGACTTTGGCTTCTAAGAGAATCAAGCAAAAAAGCTTTGCAAACAGCAATACTTAAGTTTTAGAAGCTGAAAGATAAATATTCACCTCCCAGAGAGGCTCCACCTGCAAGAACAGAAGTGGCACCACATATTTGTCAGTCTCCCAGAAATTTAATAAAAAACAACCAGTGCATGACATGGAGACAACACACCTGAGATACCTCCTTTAAAAAGCCCCAAATACCTCCTGCCTGCGCTACCGGGACATGTTCACTGCAGATTATTAATATGTATTCTCATCAGCAGGTACTTCACTGCTGTAAGGTCACCCTGAGCAACCTCAGCAGGACGGGGACAGCACAGCAGTCATCCTCAAGGAGTAACAGCAGAGCACAAGCAGTGAGCACAAGGAATAATTTATAGATTTACCCATTCCCCAGCTACTTTCAACTCTCACAGGAAGGGAAACACGAAATCTGAATAATACAGGGAGGTAAACTATAAGAGCAAACTGACTAGCTCAGCTTTCTGGCGAGCATCTCAATTTATCTGGTCACCCTAAAGAAACATCTGAACCTTCCCAAGAACTAAAGTTAATCCTTCTATAAAAAGGCACAGCGAGACTGTTCTGAGCGCAAGCACAAACTCAGCTCACACGACAGTTTAACTGCACAGATGCCCAGAGCACTGGGAAATGCAGTTTTAGTCCCAAACACCCAAAACCCTCCCCAGCAAAGAACTTGCCGTTCAAGCTTCCACTTGTGGACACAGCGTTGTTCTGTTTCTGGTTGTCGTAGGCAGGGCCAATATTGGCAAGATCCTGCAAGAGATCAAACAATCTGCTGTACAGGTTGGTCAGAGGGGTCACCCTGAGCCCAAGCAGGGCACTCCCAGGTGCTGCAGCTCCCACCCGCTGCCAGCACAACATGGACTCGGGGCAGAGCTTTGCCCCTCGGCTGAGCAGAAGGCACCAAAAGGATCCCCCACTCCTCCTCCCAGATCCCCCCTCTCCTCCCTTCTCTCACCACATACCTGGTCTAGAAGCCCAAATTTGGGGTAATCCTCCTCTGGGTCTTTACTGCCCGGGTCTGGGTGCTCTTTCACCAGGAACACGTCTCTTTCTTTGCACTGAAACACAGGAGTTCAAGTCACACGGGGTAAGACTGTAACAAATCCGTTAACAAGTGTTTAAATCCCAGCGTGCACTATTAATATGTGGTAGGTACATTCAGCCCCAAGGCCAGCCCTCAGCACGCACCAATGTCACAAAGTCACAGTGTTCCTGTTCATTCCTCCAGGGATTTACCCCCCAGTTCTTACCATGGTTTTGACAATGTTATTGGGCCAGGTCATTTTCCCAGGCCTCTGCCGCGTTGTCATACACTCCCAGTATTTATCAATGAACGGGATAATATCCTGGGAAAACAGAAAACATCTCCCTGAGCTCCTCCCTCGCTGACACCACCCCTGACGCGGGCCCGGGGCGGTTCCGTCGCAGCCAAACCTTGTCCTTGGAGAACATCGTCTTGGGGTGCTCGTCCTGCGTCCTCGACTGCCACGTGAGGTTGGCCAGAGCGCTAAGGCACATTTCCTTGAGATCTGGGAAACAAAACCCCCCCAGGGGTACACGTAGGGAAGATCAGACACCCGCCTGTGTACACAGCAACCACCGACCCCGCAGCACCACCCTGAGGAACAGCAAAAAGCCCCCTGGAGTTCACCCTGATCAGGCCCCACCGAACACATTTACACCATCTCCATCAATGAAAACAGCAAAACATTTCTAGGAAAAGCCACGGACTTGTTCCTAAGAATTTTTTTGGTCATTTTCCAGAAGTCTCAGCAGAGCCCTGTCGGACAAAACCAAACCTTCAGGATTATCTCGCACAAATCACCCCCCAACATGCTTCTCCCAAACTCACTCGCTTGTTTCCTCAGGAAGTAGGTGTTCCCACTGTGGTGGCACACGTTGCAGTGGAAGCTGTAGTTGGTCATGAAGGGCAGACAGGACCTGGGAGAGAGCAGGGTTTGTCAGGGCTGGGTACGCTGTAATTACTGCACCAGGCTAAAGGAATCCCAGAATCACTGAGGCTGGAAAAGACCTCTGAGACCATGGGGTGCACCCTGTGCCCCATCCCCACCTTGCCCCTCAGCCCAGAGCACTGAGTGCCACGTCCAGTCCTTCCCTGGACACCTCCAGGGGTGGTTTTCAAGTGTCCAAGGACATGGACCTTGAGAACTCGCACTCCAAACCACTCCCCTCCCGCTGCCAGGGCTCACGTACGTGGTGTCGATGCCGAAGGTGTCCGCCGTGAACCACTTGGTGCAGATGCCACACTGCAGCTCGATCTCGCCCAGCTGCCGCGTGTTCTCCTCGTCCCCTGAGCCCCCCTGGGCGTCCAGGGCCTCGGCACCGTCCCCAGCCGTGTCCTGGAATGGGAGCAGAGCCAGGGAATCACACAGTGCCAACTTTAAAGGGAATAAATCCCTCCCCCTGATCCCTGCCCGCGTTGGAGCTGTTCCATAGACTCAGCTCTCTACACGACCGAGGATTTAACTTCCAAAACGACCCTTTCCAGACCCAAAGCTGGGGGCACGTAAATCTTTTAGGGTTGACACCCCCCCACACCCTCCCGCGCCCACAGCACCTACCAGGGGCTCCTTGCCGTTGGCGGACTCGGTCTCCAGGGCCGTGGCGACATCGGCCAGGGCGGTGTCCCCGCTGCCGGGGCACAGACGTGTCAGAGGGACCCCGGGAACGGGAGGGGGTGGGGGGTTTCAGCCCGGACCCGGGACCCGACGCGGGTTGGGACGGCACGTGCAGCTCCCCCCGCCCTGCTGGTGTCGCTTGGTCCCCCCGTGACTCCCGTGGGGCGGCGCGGGACCCCCCATCCCCGTTCCCATGGCAACGAGGCGAGCCACTCCCCCCCCCCTTCCTCTTTCCCCCTTCCCTCATCAAAGCCCTCACGACGCAGGGGGGGCCGGGGGTCGCTCCAGAGCTCGCAGGGAGGGCTGTACCCGCTCTCGGCGTCGGCGGCAGGCGGTTCCGGTGGGGCCGGGGGCTCCGGGGCCGGGGGGGGCTCCGGGGGGGGCTCCGCTCCCTCGGCCGCCGCCGCTGCCGCCGCCGCCATGTTCGCCCGCCGCCCGCGCTCGCGGCTCTCGCGAGACCTGGCGCTTCAAAGGGCGATGGCGCTCCCGGTGGGCCCCACCGCGGCGCGGTGGCGCCCCGTGGCGGCTGCCGCCGGGAACTGCGAGGAGGGCAGGGGGAGCTGTGACGTCACGTTTTGCCCCCTCACGGTAGTGACATCACTTTGCACCGTCTTGACGCCACCTGGCCCACAGCCTGAGAGGGAATTGGGAGCTGACAGCAGGGTAAGAAACAGCGAGAGGGTCCCGGGTCTCCCCGGGAAGGAAGAGCATCCCATTGCGGGGAGACGGGCAGAGATGGAGGGGAACCCCCTGAGAACCCCACCCTAGAGAGTTTGGGGTCCTCGGTTCCCCCCAGTCCCAATCCCTTCTCCAAGGGGCAGGACAGGATTGATGGGTGGCAGGGATTGTGCCTGGGTCACTCGTCCCCAGGGGTCCCGGGCGGTGCAGTCCCTGTGCCCACCAGCCACGGCAGGACAGGGATGGAGGGAGCTGGTGATGGGGACGAGCCTAGGAGGGATAGGGAAGGGATGGAGAGGGAGATAGGGAGGAGGAAAAGAACTGGAGAGCTGGAGGGATGAGTCAGGCGTGAACAAGGCTGGAGGCAGATAGGGAAAGGTGAGGAGAAAAGAGGGAGAAAGAGAGGAACGAGGGACTGCGGAGCTGGAAACGGGGAGGGATGTCAGGGGAGAGATGGGGGTGGAGGGGAGGGAGGATGGAGATAGGGACGGAGGGCTGGGAAGAGGGACGGGGAGAAGAGGGGAGGGGGCTGCCGGAGAGGGGGGTGCCCGGGGCGGCGCTCGGGGCCGCTGTACAAATAGGGCGGCTGCGGGTGGCCCGGGCAGACATGCGGGTCCCGCTCCGCTCCGCCTCCGCGCTGGTGCTCTGCGCCCTCGCCCTGCTCCACCTGGGCTGCGCATCCCCCCGGGCACCCACCCGGGCACCGACCGGAGCATCCCCTCGGGCATCCCCCCGGGCACCCACCCGGTCCCTGGCCCCTGCCCCGCCGCGCTGCCCTCCGCTGATGCTTCAGCTGCTCCGCGCCCCTCCCGCCCCGCTCCGCGCCGCCGCCGCCGCCGCCCTCAGCCTCTCCCCGCACGGTGAGTGGGGCCGCGGCCCCGAACATCCCTGTCCTGGGACCGGCACTGTCCCCGGGACCCGCACCATCCCTGAGCATCCCTGTCCTGGGACTGGCACTGTCCCCGGGACCCGCACCATCCCTGAGCATCCTTGTCCTGGGACCAGCACTGTCCCCGGGACCCGTGCGATCCCCCGGCAAACCCTGTGCCAGGGATCAGCACCATTCCTCTTCTCGGGACTGGCACTATCCCCAGGCATCCCTGTTCTGGCCCCGTCCCCGTCCCCGTCCCCGGGACCTGCACCGTCCCCAAGCATCCCTGTCCCGGGACCCTCACTGTCCCGAGCATCCTTGTCCCCAGGACCGGCCCTGCCCGGGGCTCTCACTGGCTCTGGGGATGGATCCAGCGGCTTTCCCCTGACCCTCGGGCTTTCCCCTGACCCTCGGGCTTTCCCCTGACCCTCGGGCTCCCGCGGCAACGACTTGAGGGCACCGTCCCTCCCTGGCACCCCCGGCCCCACGTCCCCTCACCCTGCCCTTGGCTTCCAGGCTCCCTGCAGAACGGCTCCCGCTGGGCGCTCTCCTTCGACATGTCCTCCCTGTCCAGCAGCCAGGAGGTGAGCCTGGCCCAGCTCCGCATCCGCCTGCCGGGGCTGTCCCACTCCCACAACGTGTCCCTGGACATCTACCACAGCCAGCGCCGCAGGTGCCGGGCTGACAGCACCTGCGCCCACCAGCTCTTCCTGGGCACCGTGGCCGGCAGCCCCTCTGCCACCCAGGCCTCCTGGGAAGTCTTCGAGGTCACCAACCTGCTCCGGTCCTGGCTCCACCAAGCCGTGGTCCCCGGGCACCGCAGTCCCGGGGGAAAGGAGCGGTGGGAGGTGAATGGTTCGGATGTCCCGGCCACCAGCGCGGTGCACTCGCCCACCCTGAGCGACGCTGGCCACGGGGAGCCAGCCCTGCCCCAGGACGTGGCAGACAGAGTCCTGCTGCTCGTCTTCTCCACGGACAAGTCTCCAGGAGACCACAGCCTCATCAGGACGGCAGAGACCTCCAAGTACATCATGCGTGACGGCGGCTCCCAGGGCGGGGGGACGCGCCGGCACCGCAGGAACAGGATGGAGAAGCAAAGGATCAAAGCCAGCGACGCCGCTGCGGCCACGCCACGGGAGGAGGGCAGGGCCCTCTGCAGGAGGGTGGACATGATGGTGGATTTCGAGCAGACGGGCTGGGGCAGCTGGATCGTCTACCCCAAAAAGTACAACGCCTACCGGTGCGAAGGGCTGTGCCCCTCGCCCGTGGACGAGACCTTCAAGCCCACCAACCACGCGTACATACAGGTAAGAGCAGCTGCCCCCCACGCCCCCCACGCTCCCAGCCCCCCACCCACGGCAGGGGGTATGTTCTGCCCTTCCCGTGTCTCCCACAGAGTTTGCTGCAGCTCTACAAGCCCAACCAGGTGCCGTGTCCCGCCTGTTCCCCGGTCAGGATGAGTCCCCTCTCCATGCTCTACTACGAGAAGGGCGAGATCGTCGTCCGCCACCACGAGGACATGATCATCGAGGAGTGTGGCTGCAACTGAGGCCACCTCGTGCCCCGCTGGGAAGAGACACATCTCTGCCCAGAGTGCCCCCAAGGACCCACCACCCAACCCACGCCCATCACACAGACCGTGTGACTGTGGGTCGGCAAAGCCCTGGCTGGGCCAGGGGAGGAGTGGGGTGCCCAGGTGGGGTGCCCAGGTGTGGTGCCCAGGTGGGGAGCTCCATGGCCACAGTGCATGGCTGGATCAAGGCTCCACGCAGGAAAGGCCAGCAGCCACCTCCCTGTGGCACCTTGGTGCCCCTCACTGTGCTTTTCCAGGAGCTGTGGGGCTGCTGGAAGGTGTGCCCGGGCTGCCAAGGGCTGGTGCTGCTGGGCAGAGGCAGGGGCTGAGGTGCAGGACTGGAGCATGGCAGCATTCACTCCCTGCCACAGCACGCTCTGCTTGCTCCCTCTGGGAGGCCGTGGATCTGCTCGAGCCTTTTCCCCCCTTGCTGGATGGGGCGGTGGAGAAAGGCTCACAGCTGTAAAACTCATTAATAAATTATATATATATATATTAAAAATGCCTGGTGGTTCAGCTGATTTCCACAGCCCATTTTTGCTGTTGGTGGTCTGTCTGTCAGGGGGCAGTTCCTCCACCTCTCTGTCCATTTGCTCCTTCACCAGTAACACCAGACTGGGTGGGCTCTGGCTGCTCCTGACACTTCCAGAGCAAAGGGGTCCCTCCAACGGTGCAAAAGATGCTCAAAAGCTCCAAAGTTCACGTGATGTAAGGATGAAGCTGCTCCCACCCTGATGGGGAGGCACCTGCAGGCAGGGAAGGGGAGGCTAAAGGGATTTCCCACCCTTATTTACCCGTCGGAGATAAGGGAAGGGCCGTGCTCTCCAACAGCAGTGGATTCTTAGCCATGTGGATGGGGACACGGCACTCGTGGGGGGATCCACGGTGGCCCCCGGGCAGCCGAGGGGACAGGAGGGACCACAAGCGTCGGGGGTGGCTGCTCAGGATGGGACAGGGGCCACCCCCATCCCGCCCCTCCTGGGACCAGCGGCCCCGACTCCACATCCCAGCCCAGCCTGATTATCCCCAATCCACATCCCGGCCGGCGGATAAACAAAGCGTGTCTGGTGTGTCGCCCCTCCCCAGCAGACCCTCCCCGGGGCCGCTTACATATTCCAACAGCTTTCACACTGCGACCATCCCGTCATTAGAGGGTCATTTGCAGGAGCTGTCAAGGGTGGGCCGGGGGCGCGGGGCTGACCCCCGGCAGGAGGCAAAGCCATGCAGAAACCTGCACATCTGCGCCGTGGGTGACAGAAAATCGCATTGTTTTGCCTCTTTCCCAGCAGCTTTGCTACTCCTGCTCATAAACGGGAGGATTCACACCCCCACGCACAGCCCGGGACCCCCTGACCCCCCCAGCCTCTTCCTCCTGCTGTATCTCTGCCATCTCTGCCCCTCCATCACCCTGTTTGGAATCCAGCAGCGCGTTCAAAAGTTGTGGCGGGGCAGGGGGAGGCAGCAGCCCTTCCCTGGGAAGAGCAGGGTGGAAAAATAAAGGCTGAGATTCCAGGGCTGTAAGGAAAACATCAAAGTGTGTGGATGGCGACAATAAAGCCGGGTTTAGGCGAGCCAGGCTCTGCCAGGCTGCGAAGAGGGACCTGACCCAAGCAGGGAGAGCTGTGGCCCTGCTCCTGCCCCAATCCACATCGGCTGCAGGGGGGGGCAGAGGGAGCCCAAACAGTCGGGACAATAAAGTGGGGGGACAGCCCCAGCCCCACCATGGTGTCCTGCCTGCGACCCTGCAGCATCCCAGGGTCGGGGGGGAGCTGGGAGGTCCCTGCTCTGGGAAGGGCTGGCTGGACCTTAGAGCCTTCCACAGACAGAGCCACCCCGTGCAGGGAAGGTTTTCCAGCAGGGAAGGTGCCCTGGGTTTTCTAGGAGGGCAAGGCTTGGGATACAAGGAGGGGCCACTTGGGGAACACGGGAGTGAGGGGCAGCTGAGCCTGGCTGGGATCAGACTGGAGGGGCAGCCACGGGCAGGGGGATGGCAGGCACGGATTGCTTTGGGCACACGGGGAAAGAGCAAAACCAAACAGGCCGAGGGGCTTATCACAGGCCCGTGGTAGTGTTTGTACAAGTGGTGCACCAAGGCACGAGCTGGGGCAGGCAGGTGGTGTTTGTCCCGTGACTGGGACACAGAGAAGGACACAGGGACATGGATTAGGATGCAGGGACACAGAGCAGGACTTAGGGATGTGGAGCAGGACTCAGGGATGCCGGGTGTGCTGCTCTACCCTCTT